TCTAGAAGTTTGCTGATGTAATTAAACTCCTGAAATCTCACCAAATTAAGGCAGACTTCAAGAATGAATAGATCATGTGTTATTGTTAGTTTCCCATGAATCGCCAGTGACAAGTAGCCTCTTACTCTAATGTTAAGAACCCATTGGATAATTGTACTGCTACTTGTGTGTGTATGTGTGCACATGTACACATGTGTGTGTGTGTTCACATGTCTGTGTGCACACAGAGAACTGGGAGCTCACAACCCTATAAATAAGGAGCTGGTTTGCAGCAGAACTCATTGAACCCTTTGCTCTGAACCTGAGGTAAACACAGCCAATGTTCCTGCCAGCATTTGCTAAGGCCCATGGACAAGGTCAGTGATTATGCTCACTTCTTCAGTGAAATCTGACCCCTGCCTCTGTGAACATTCCAAGATGAACCCTCTCTGGTTCCTGTGTCCAGATCACACCAGGATTCTTCCCACAGAGGCCATGGAGGAGATGTCATAGGTCTTGGCTCTGTTAACCTCTACTATGCTCAGTTTCTTCCTCCTGAAGGGTATAGCCCTGTCTCTGCTATCCCAAATCTATGTAGTTAGTCACTTCTTCCCCTATATCTTATCTGTGTTACTACCAAGATCTCTGTTTACCCACCTGTTCTTGTGGCTCTGGCTGAGGGGCACATGGCTTGGATTTGACTGACAAAAATAGCCTGATTTTGAGGTGACCTGGTTTTAAAGTCTACAGAGTGGAAAGAGCCAGAAAAGACCAAGTATTTGCAGAACCACTTGGCTAAGGTGAGAGAATGCAAGCACATGTGCCATTGTGTTTTTGTGAGCCTCTAGGTCTGTGTCCTATTTTCCTATTTATCTTTCTGGGGTTTTCTGTCTCTTGTTCTAGCTCTCTGTCTGCCTCTGATGTCTGTTATCTCCCCTCTCTCTACCTTTTATCATTGTCCCATCCTCTTTCAGCAAGCATATGGGAAAGGGCACAGCCAGATAACTTCTTTTGTTTTTGATGATATATTTTTGAGCAGCCTTAATACAAGATGTTTAGGAAAGCCACAAAACCATAATTTGAATCTTGCTTCTTTATTACCTTCAGATCCTTGGAAAGTCAGAACCTTTGCTCTTTCCTGAGGCTGTATTTTACACCCTCACATGAGAGGCACATTTTTAAACACATATTTCCTCACAGGTTGTTTGTGAGAAACACAGAAGAGAATGAGAATTGTGGTGATTCAGAGAAACAGGAGGGATTGTTACAATTATTAAGTTTTTCACAATCTATTCTTGAATCCCCTTATTTCTAACTTTCTCACTTTATTTCCCTATTGGGTTTCATCTGCTTTCTGTTTACCATCCTCTTTTTTCCCCTATTGCCTGCTTCTCAGTGTATTTCTGTTTTCTTCTTTCACATTTGTTCTCTCTGTCCATATGCAGATGCACTTTTCCTGTTTGTGCATTTTTCATCTCTCGTCCTTTGAGAAATGATGCCAGAAGCATTTTAAAGAGGTTTGTGAATATATCACAAAATTAGATTAATATGAAGATCTAGTTTTTCTCATTTTTCTCTAAAACCTAAAGAATAAACAAAATTTTTAAGGATAGGATGAGGAGTTGGAGATAAGACAGCAATCTAATCTTCTCTACAATTAGTTTCCTGATCTGGGAAAGTGGTCTTTTTAAAACAATACTTTCTACTCCATTTTCTTTTTAAAACCATTCTGTGGAAGTGAAATATTGGTCAAGATCTTGAAATAACTCTTTCAATATATGAACAGCAAAGAAAAAAAGAAAAGAGATAAGAGCAAGTGAGGAGGTAATGGACATGCACTAAGCAATTACTGCATCTCACTCATATTAAGGTTATAATTTCCACTATCAGGTTGTCTTTATACCAATCCACAAGTGAAAGAAGTTAGATCAAAGTGCAATCAGTAAGTAATAAAACTGAAATGTACGGTTTAACCTTCTCTAATCCAAAAATCCAAAACTGAAAATACTCCAAAATCCAAAACTTTTTGAGGCCAGAGTTTCCACAAATGGAAAACTCTACAGCTGACCTTTTGAGATCAGCTGCAGTCAAAAATGCAGGAGCCCACACACAGTTTATTCAACATTTCCAATAGGAAAAGATCCTTTTATCACCCGTAAGCCTTGCTATCTTTTTCACACAAATTCACACTAGTGCCTGAGATAGTGACACCTTTGCTTTCTGACAGTTTAATGTACAGAAACTTTCTTCCTTACACAAAATTATTTTAAAATATTATATAAAATTCCTTGCAGTGGGCATGGTGGCACATGCCTATAATTCTGGCACTCTGGAAGGCTATAGCAAGAGAGTTCTGCATGAAAAACTTAGCAAGACCCTGGCTCAAAATAAGAAAAATTTTTAAAGCCTTGGAATGGTTCACTTCCAATGCTGCTAAATGAAACCTTTCAGACTATGTATAAGGTATATAGGAAACATAGGTGAATTTTGTGTTTAGATTTGTGTTCCATCCTCAAGATATTTTGTTATATGTATATACAAATATTCCCAAATCTGGAAACAAAACACTTCCCGTACAAAGCTTTTCAGATAAGGAATACTCAACTTGCACTGTTTTAGTTAATTCTACATAGTGCACATTGGCCATATATATGTGTTTCACATGTAGATATGGAGTCTCCAGGGTATGTATCCACTTTCTAATATTAGATGTCACTGACTAATTAATTCTAGTTCTTTCTAAGACTTTCAAATATTATCTCATGCCCTTACTTTTGTGATACTGATTATTTACTATCAACACAATTTCTCAAGAGAATTGTACTATTGTTCACATTAACCACATTATTGCTAAGCCTGCTGAAAAGAGCTCAATCTGTCTTGCTATCACCATCAACAAAGTATTTCTGTATAAATTTCTTACAAACCCATCTTGTACAAAAACCAAACCCTTAATATTCAGAGTCAAATTCTATGAGTAAATTAACTGGTCACTGTTTCAACTTAATTTCTCTCTGCCTCTTATGGTATATTTGGAGAGTGCTATTTTTGCTTATTTTTCCAAATTATTTGAAACACTTTCTAGGATATATATTGTTAAGATAAAAACCTATGTTATAGTTTGTTTTATTTTTGGTTTATATGTAATTTAGATTCAGAATCTGGTGGGAAGGTGATGAACAACTCTCAAGTATTTTATTGGAAAAATAGTGAAAACAAAAATCATCTAACATGAGGAAAATAGATTGAATGGAAGACTTAATATAAGGTTATCTGTGCTGCCTCCCACTTGCACCAATACTAGAGGGGTTTTCTTGAGACTAGAGCTTGTGCTTTCATCTTACCCATAGTAGTAAAAACTTGGCATGGCAAACAAGTGCTCTCATGCCAGTCAGACTATCATTAAATGTGAAGCATATGTGAGTTTATAGAGGATCCAACTGTAAGAGTAGAATCTAGACTAGATGGGGGTCTAGCTAGCACAACTGAAAATATTACTAAAATTTAGCATGTTATTTACTACTACATAGTAAAAATAAGGTTAAACATAAAGCTTAATCTGAACTCACAGTGCAAGACCCAAAGTCTCACTCCCACTCCACGGAGCGTGAACAGCCAAAAAGGCCTCCACGATGCTGGGTCCAAAAACCCAGCAAGGCTCCAGGAGCTTGACAAGCAGCGAGAAACCCAGGAAGGAACACACCAGGCTAGTTGGTAAACAGACCTTTATTAGTCTGGCCAGACAACACTCTCAGAACCAAATAGCTCAGAGAGGCACCAGCTCAGGGATTAGCACAGTTTTTAAAGACCAGAGGAGAGGATTGCAAGCACAACAAGTGGACAAGGGGTCAGGGGTCGGTTCTCTGCTATCCCTTGGGGGGTCTGGTTTATGACATGCCTGGCTTCCTGCTTTGATCTGCCCCAGACACCAGGATGTTCTGTTCTGATCAAAGTCCTAAGATATTACCTTTGTTTACCTGTACCAGGCTCACATACACTCTGTTCTAATCTTATCTGGGAGCAGAGCAGAAAGGAATGTACTTTGTTATATGCTGACTAACTAGGGGCTACACAGCGGTTTAGGATCTCACAACAGCGATCTTCCTGCCTCAGCCTCCAGAGTGCTAGGATTACAGATGTGTGCCACCATGCCTGGCTTATGAATTGAACTCTTAGAGAACAGCTGGTCATAGTATTTCAGTGAGAATGTTTCCTGGGATGCTTTTTCTTAACCTTTTTAAATCTCTTTCTTCAGTATTCTTTTGATTCCATCCTTCCCATTCCCCATACTATAATGCTTTGTCCAGGGATGATTTGATCAGCTTGTTTGCCACTGTTATTATATACACTGAAGTTTTAAAATATAAAATATACCTGCTTATTTAGTTGTTCTTATTAAACTCCATGTCTCCAACTGATATTTTTCTTGTTTCCCCTATTTCTGTAAACCCTACAGTTAGCAAGGTGATAAGGACAGCAAACAATGGTAAAATATTTAGCCTGAAGAAAAAGGCTAAAATTATTAATAAGTGTCTTCAGATCTCAAAACCCCTTGCCGACTCACCATAAGAAATCATTCCTTATTATAGGTTAAACCAAAGAATGAAGACTATAACTATATATAAAGGTGTGTGGGTTCTAATATGTGTATGTATAGGGCTCCAAATAAGCAGGATGTTATTTAATGGTATAACCTATGTTAAGAGGTGATGGTTTCTCCACTCTAGACATGTTGATATAGTTTTAAAAAGTTTTCTAAGGACTTAACAGGCCTGGGCTGTTTTGCCATTTTTATTTACTAGCTGTTCACCTTGGAAAAGTTGCTTTAATTCTTTGAACTTCTGTGAATGGAGATAGAATCTCTTTCATCAGATTTGTATGTATTAGGTAGGGTAATCTATGCTTTGTAAACTATAGGAGTAAATAACTTTAGAGTAGATGTTCCCGTGGAATTGGTTTGAGAAACTTCACATGAGAGATTATACATGCTAATAAGAGAACCTGCTGTCTTGCAGAGAGAATCCCAAAATCAGATGTCCTCCCTGATGACATCCTCAAGCTCTATGAGATTGTCCCTCTTCCTTATTGCAATGATTCTGTGACAGACCATTTCCAGTCTCAGCAACAGAATGAGGTAAGACATGTCCTATTTTATGTACAAACCATGCCATACATAATGAGTGCCCACCTAAAGGATATTAGATTATTTCTAGGTCCAAGTGGACTATGGAGTCAGAATTTCTTTTTTAATGTCCCTTTGCAACTTGGAGAAGTTTAGGTAAAACTTCTGGCTTCCTCACAGGCTCCAACAGAAACATGAAGATAAGAGGGAAAATGCACTGTATCCCAGAAGGACTATTTGCAAGTATAATTTTGCTTATATATTTTCAATTCAGTTGTACCAGATCTCAAGAGCCAATGTTAAATTTTCAGGGATTTTGAAAGTTATTGGTTAAACATAGACATTATTCAAAAATTATATCAACTCACAACTAAAAAATACTTAAAAATTAAAGTAATAGATATTCAAAAGTCATCACTTGCTAATTTTGTCATGACACTTTACTATGCTTCCAAGTTTATTTGTGTCTGTTATATCTGTATGGGAAAACAATATTATTGTGACCCAATGTGTTTCTCTTCCCAACTAGTGATGCTACATTAGTACTTTGAAATAGGGCATAGTGGAAAACTTTACACCAGAAAATTTTGCCAATGTTAAAAATAAGGTGACCCCACCCCCAGCCCACCAGGCATAAATGCAGCACAGACTGGTGAGAAATGGAGCCATGCAGGCACCCCAGCAGCATCACCACAACAGCCCCCAGCCCCCACCTCTGGCCCCCTGGTTGTGCCAGGACCTGGATCCACACTGCAGAGGCACAGGGGGTCATAAAAGCCATTGTACTGAGCTCCAGAAAATACAGCAGAAGTGAACAAGAGAAACAGGGCCTTTCTCCAGCTTCTTGATGAAAATTGAAGCCCAATAGAAAAGTAAAGAGAATCTCTGCAATAAAGGCACATTAGAGCACCATGGTTGGTAAGTTGGAGGGATCACCACCTCCCAACAAAACTTGGACTATCCTCAACGGAAGAGCAGCTGGAACCTGCAGTAGAACCTTGCAGAGTCCAACCCTGCAGGAGGTTAGGGAGCTCAGCTTGGGCGTTGGAGCCAGAAATCAGCCTGAATCTCAGGGGTCTGCAGCTGGTTTGCTGAGATTAACTGACTGTCCACATTGTCTATAATGACAGCAGAGACATACCTTGAAGGAGACCCTCCATTTTTTTTATTTAAAAATTATTTTCCCACTCTTCAAATTCTTCCTTTTTTTCTTTTTTCTTCTTTGTTCTCTTTTACTTCTCTTTCCAACTTACTATCTCACTCTCACACACTGTTCTTCACCTCCCTTTCTGTTTCTCTTCCTGCCCTAATTCAGATTTCTTCTTTCTTTTTCTTTTCTTCTCTTTTTCCTTCACTCAGTTGTCACTGGTTTCAAAGGAAACTGAGTATAGTTTCTAGATTCCCTACTTCTGTTAGGTTGTTTTATTCTTGTCTCTGTTCTTTCATTCTGTCTTTCCCTCTTGCTTTCAACAGTTTCCTAGAGTTTGTGTGATATTTCTGTGTCCTTTGGCCTCACTCTAACTTTCCCCTATCCTTCTACCTATCTATCCCTCTCTTCCCAACTGCTTCTAAGTCCCCATCCTGAAGGGTAAAGTTGCTATAATGAAGAGTTTATTCACTATAAACATATTTTGGGCTGGTCCTAAATTTTGATTTAATTCACATGGTTAAAGGTGATAGATTGTTAACTACCACAAATTGTCATCTTCTAAGCTGTGCTTGATGCTATTAAATTGCTGATTGTATCATTTGGGCTAAGGTGTTGTGAGTGACCTAATCAGTTGTCCTTCCTGGTATATTGAAAATGAGATTGTCTCAGAGTCACTAGCGACTCAAAATCTAAAGATCAGCTATATCTGGTAGATCAAAGTATTAATCCAGGAATTAAAGCAAGGACAGTACCAATAACAAATACAGAAATGAGAAAACATTTAAGCAAGGCACAAAGGCAGAATTGCAGCTCACAAAAGGCAAATTCAGGGGAAAACAAGGTGGAAAAGTCTGTTCAACCAACAGAACTCCCTGAACTGATAGCACAAGAAGTAACAAAACAGATGAATGAGGCTCTAGAAAATTCAAAATAGAAATAATTTCCCAGATAATGACAGAGATGGTGAGAAGAATGAAAGACATGATTGGATACTCTAGAACAGAAACAGATTTTTAAAAATAGATGAGCTCAGGCCCATGATAGAAACCATGAATGCCCAGTATAGGGAAGAAATGGAAACCATAAATGTGCAACATAGGAAAGAAATGGAATCCATGAAACAGATTCAAATAGATATCCAGGAGATTTTAAAAAAAACTCTATTGATACTATATACAACAAATTAACCCAATCTGAAGACAGACTATCAGATATAGAAGACAGAATGATGGTCAGTGACCATGAAAAGAGAGATCTCTTAAAAATAGTAAAGGACCATGAGAAATCAACCCAACAGCTCCTAGATGACATAAAGAAGAATATAAAAGACTGATACAATTGCATGAAAAAGCAGGAGAAAATACAAAAGACATAAGAAAAACTGTTCACAGAATTAATGACAGAAAACTTCCCAGAGTGAAAGAAGGTGACACACAAATAAGTGAGGCATATAGAACTCCAACTAACCATGATTAAAAACAAAGATCTACACCTAGACATATAGTAGTCAAGATCCTAGACACCCAACAGAAGAACAAAATACTACCAGCAGTTAGAGAAAAGAAACAAATCACATGCAAGGGAAAGCCCATCAGAATCACATCAGACTTTTCAACACAAACCCTCAAGTAAAGGAGAGCCTGGTGTGAGGCTAAACTAAAAAAAAAAAAAAAAACCCTAAAAACCCTAAGCCTAGAAGAAAACAACCTCAAAGCTAGATTGATGTGCCCTGCAAAACAATCTTTCAAAACTGATGGGGAAATAAGATACCTCCATAACAAAGAACTCCCGAGAAACTTCATGAATACCAAACAGCACTCCAAACAATTCTAAACAATACCCTAGAAAAAGGCAATGAGGGTTACAACTCCAAGAGGCCCAACAGAGCAAATCCATGAAGCAAGGCAAGAAATTAAAAGGAGAGGGGGAAAAACTAAAAAGGGCCAACAACAGGACAATAACATGACAATGATAAGTCAACACATATCAGTTATAACCATAGATGTTAATGGCCTCAATTCACCAATCAAAAGAAATAGACTGGCAGAAAGGATTAAGAAGCAAAATCCAACAATATGCTGTATACAAGAAACTCTCCTAGTTTAAAAAGAAATGCATAGACTAAAAGTGAAAGGATGGAAACAGTTCTTCATGCAACAGGAACCCAGAAAAAAGTAGGAGTACCTATCTTATTTGCAGACAAAGTAAATTGCAAACCAAAATTGATTAAGAGAGACAAAAAAGAGCACTACATTCTTACAAAGGGAACAATCCAAGAGGAAGAAATGACAATCATAAATACATATGCTCCAAATACTATGTCCCCAACTAAACAAAACAAATATTAAAGGTCATGAAAAAACAATAAGTACTAATACAATTGTAGTGGGGAACCTAAATAACCCACTGTCACAGATAGATGGGTCATTTAGGCATAAAATAAACAACAAAATATTAGAACTGAACCAAACTTTTGAAAAAATGGACTTAATAGATGTCTACAGAGTGTTCCACACCATAAAATAACAATATACATTCTTTTTTTCTGCACATGGGTCATTTTTCAAAGTAGACCACATACTAGCTCATACAACATGTTTAAGTAAATGCAAAGCAATTGAAGTTATCCCTTTTATACTATCAAACCATACTGCAATTAAACTGGAGATCAATAGCATAAGAAACAACAAGAACTTCACAAACACACAGAAATTGAACAATACTCTCCTGAACCACCAATGGGTCACAGCGGAAATTAAAGAAGAAATTAGCAGTATTTACAAATTAATGATAATGCCAATACAACATACAGAAATCTATGGGACATGATGAAAGCACTTCTATAAGGGAAATTCATAGCAGTGAATGCCAAAACTAGGAAAATAGTACAAGATCAAATAAACAACTTGATGCAGAACCTCAAGCTCCTAGAAAAAGAAGAGCAAGAAAAACCCAAAACTTGTACAAAGGAGGAAATTATAAAGATCAGAGCATAAATCACTACAATGGAGACTAAGAGAATGATACAAAAAAATCAATAAATCAAAGAGTTGGTTTTTCAAGAGTAAATAAAACCATAAACCCTTAGCCAGCCTTATTAAAAAAAATGAAAGAAAGGCTTAAATCCATGAAATTAGGAACAAAAATGGTGAAGTCACAACAGAACCAGCAGAAGTCCAGAGGATCATCAATACCTACTTTGATAACCTACACTCTAATAAAATGGAAAACATGGAAGAAATGGACAGATCTCTAGATACATATGAATTACCACACTTAAACAAAGAAGATATAAAAAAAATCTAAACACCCCAATTACAATCAGTGAAATTGCAAACATAATTTAAAAATTATCAACAAAGAAAAGCCCAGGTCCTGATGGCTTCACTGCTGAATTCTACAAGACATTTAGTGAAGAACTATTGCCACTACTCTCTAAACTTTTCAATGAAATTGAAAGGGAAGCAATACTTCCAAATTCAATCCTGGAAATAAATGTTACTTTGATTCCAAAACCAGGGAAAGACCCAACCAAAAAAGATAACTACAGATAAATCTCCCTAATGAGCATAGATGCAAAAATCCTCAACAAGATGCTGGCAAACAGAATACAGAGGGTCATCAAGAAGATCATACACCTTGATCAAGTTGGATTTATCTCAGGGTTGCAAGGCTGTTTCAACATATGTAAATCAATAAATGTAATACACTATATTAACAAAGTCAAGAACAAAAAAAAACATATAATCATCTCAATAGATGCAGACAACCTACAATATGGGAAAAAAATTTTACCAACTGTTCCGTAGACAAACGTCTACTATCTAGAATATATAAAGAACTCAAAAAAATCAGACCTCCT